AGTCTGTCCTACTATGGACATCCGCGACTAAGTCATGGTTGTTAAAGCAATATTCAGGCCAACTAGTCAAAATAACTCACCGACTTATTCCTAGAAACTGTAGAAAGACCATAAATCTATTCATTTTGATGAAGAACTAAAACTCAGCTCATTTTAGCTGGAACCGAAGAAGGTTGTCTTGGGGAAAGCATGAGAAAGAATTTTCTAGTAAGGGCAGACCAAGAGGAATCCGGTGTTATCTTCTGGCGGGATCGAGTTTCGAGTCCATTCATGATCACACACTTTCACTTGAAATAAAAGCGAGCTCAACACGTTACATTACAGAGCACCTGAAGAGTAGAATTCTCGTCCAATTGGCTTCGCGTTTCCATCAATAATGCCAAATTTGTGACTCTCCTATTTCATAGTCCTTTGTGTACCAAACCCTAAATGCTGTCGCTGTCAAGTGGGTTTTACTATGCAAATCGTAAACTTCTTCTCTTGATTTCTGACTGTTCATCGAAAGCCGTGTCCCTACGATTCGTAATCTACCTTTTCAACTATATCCCTGACCTAGTGTCCTTTTTGAAGATCTTGCCAATTCCTAATATCGTCAGAGTTTGCTAAAACAATATGCAAAGTTTTCTCTAATTCTTTCTTCTTCCCGTATTCTGTTAATTAGATTACTTTCAGCTAAGATACCGACAACTTCTCTAATATTGCGTTTTATTACATTTTCACCATATGCTGCCAGCACTTATAGTGCCCTCCAGTCGAGTTAGTGTCCAGTATGTGCAATGTGTTCTGATATTTATAATCCTTCCGTATCCATGTGCTTTAATCTCTAGGCTGATTTTTCATTCTTTTCAACCAATATTCTTTTGCTCATATTTGCTCCATCTTATAAAGTAAAATAGCGAGAAATCCTGTTTATCCATCTTCTCGTATTGTGTTGGCAAATTAGTAGTGTTGTCTCCCCCTTCATGATCACCTGGAGATTCCACTTTCATCTGAAGTTTTTGACTCAATTTTTAGGAGGACAAACATATCCACTTTGAGTCGTATTTCTAATTCGTGATTGTTTCATGATATCCATCTTTACGACCCCTATATTTCTTTGCATGCCTTCTCGATTTATTTGTCACTAGTTAAAGCTAATCTCTGATAATATGAGATGTATTCACCCAATTTCGTTTAAGGTGATGAAGAACTGGAAGTAGAATTTTCCCACAAAGCTGAGTAGAGCTGACGTTTCCATTGCATTTCACAATTAAATAATAAGAGTTAAAGGAAGCCATAAATGTGTATATATATTCTCTAACCATTTTTAATCCATTTTATCTGTAAAGTAAGGGCAAGAGATCTTAAATTCTCAGTGTAAGAACAAGTAATTGGGATCGGCTTGAAAGTCAAGGATGTGGAAATCGGAAACTTTCTTATTTAAACTCACGGCAAGGATAGTAGACATAAAGACCAAGAGCACTTAACACTAGGTTTGGCCACAGTCTTCTTAAGGGTGTAACTATCTACTAAAGCTGACAACTTTCCCTGACGATGCCAACCACGATACCAGCGAAAAGTTTTAAAACGTACCAAGTTTGATGCAATAAATTATCATAAATACTATGGCAGAGGACGCAGGATTAGGTAGCTCAAGTCAAGTGAGGAAAACGGGACAAAACGATCACGAAAGAGAGTTCAAGTAAAAAATGCCCATGTTACCCAACTAGCCATCTTGCTGTGGCTATAGAAAAAACCGAATAAGAACTGAAAAAAGCAGTGTTGCCACCATATTCCACATGTGCCAATTAATTGATAAAATGTCGTTTCAAAAATTGTTAGATAAAATATAATAGAGATGTATTAATAATAATAGACAAATCTTAGGTAGAATTGGATGTCCCAATCAACTGATTGGAATTCCCAATGAAGAATCGTGTAATTGTAGGGTAAGAATCAAGAATAACATGCAATAAATGCCAAGGCAAGTAGTAATTAAAGACTGACTTTGCGCAAATACTTAACAAGCAATCAATGGATTAATTTAGTAATTAATTAGTGCTAAAAAATGCATACGATGTGGAATAGGACCCACAATGAGCATTGTGTAATAGGACGTGGCTATTCATTTAGTTTGAAAAATAGATTTATTCTTTGCACTCGATAAAATCCCTCCATAGAATCCCAAGACGTATTCGTCTTATGAAGACGGTGTCCTGATGTACAAACAAAATTGTATAATGCGCCCTTATGTCCGATTATTCTATTAATTCATACAACAATACGCTGATACTTCATGATATCGGCCAGCACGCGTAAGCCGGGAAGCGTCACCCAAGTCACCATAACGATTTTAGTCATGACGTACAAAAATACAGCGATAAAGTTGTATTAAAAACGGAAAAATGGAATTTAAATAATAATGAATTTTCATCTCAAGGAAAAATTAAAATGAGGCGGCCACTAACTCTGCCTCCTGGTCTTGGTCCTGCTCAAGCTCGATTTCAGCCGAAGCTCCGTCACCCTGACCACGCTCTGCCTGATCATTGGGCCCGAAGCCTACTTGGTAAATTTGATCTCCCGTGGCACCGAAACATCGAGCGTTTGCGCTAATCCCCTGTTGTTGCTGTTGTGGTTGCTGTAGAAAACGACCAGGAAAGATTATTTCCAATGGCTCGTAGAAACGGCAGATCTCGATCAGCAGATGCATAAGTAAATAGGCGCGTTGACGATCCATGTTCTGCGAGCCCACCAAAGAATGGTGATGAGTCTGGGTGTAATGATAGGGGTAGTGGTGGCTATGATGATGCTGGCTAGAGGATCTACGCCGACACCAAGCTAGCGCAATTAGACTGGTTTCATCGTCACCTAGTGTATGCACACGTATATGTGAATGGATACACGTACAAGTTGGTGTGTAAATGTCATAAACAATTATAAGGAAATATGTATATATATATATACATATATAAATTGAATAGGAGAAAATAAATCAAGGGAAAAAGTTACTCGTAATGATTGTTTAATGAAATGGAATCGCAACAAGAAAATTCGCAAAAATTAGGTAAGGACCCTAATAAATCGTTTCTCGATTATGATTGATCAAATAAATATAAAAGTTTTAATCGGAGATATGAAGGCCAAGATGG